TCCGAATGAGCTACTTTGGGCTTCCAATCCTTGACCTTGGTGACCTCTGGGAGTCTTGATTCTCTTGAATTACACACTTTTTGCTCCCATGGCTGGAATGTGTGTATGTGTGTGTGTGTGTTTGTAATGACTTTGTGGCTGATCTCCAGACTGTTAATGTTTTTGGGTGCTTTGTTCCTTGGTGGACTGGATTTCTACTGCTTCTCTAATACAACTTGTATCTAAAATTGGCCAGGCGTTTTCTGCCAGCCTGAACGGCCTTGGGTCAGGGATGGCTAACCTTTTCGTCATGGCGTGCCGAAAGCGTGCGCGGATGCGTGAACCAGCCTGCACCCATAATGCAATGCATGTACCGCCCCCTTCCCGCATGCATGCACACACATGCGCCCTCCCTGCCCATTTTTGGCTTCCAGGTTGGTGCAGGAGGCCTTCCAGACCTAAAATGGGGCACCGGGGGGTGGGGCACATGTGCGGCCCCTCCACACCCCGTTTTGGCTTCCAGGTTGATGGGAGGCCTCCTGCACCAACCTGGAAGCCAAAATGGAGTGTGGTGTGGCTGCACGAGGCCGCAAAATGCAATGTGAGCACCCTAGCACATGCACCCCTCACCGGGTATGTGCGCGTGCACCCCCTCCCGCGCATGCGCAGCAGAGACCTAAAGACCAACTGGCTGGCAGGAGGCACGTCTGCATGTCACCAGTGGCACATGTGACAAAGGTTCGCCATCACGACCTTACGTGGATAAAAAAAAAAGTTTTTCAAACTTGGCAACTATAAGACATGTGGACTTCAACTCCCAGAATTCCCCAGGCAGTTTTGCTGGGAGTTGGAAGTCCAAGAAAGTCCGGTTGCCTTCTGAAAAATCACCTTGGCCTGGATGACTGAGAATCTCTAAAAAGCAAAGGTAAAGGTTAGTCATTTCTGACTCTACAGGCGGTGCTCAGCTCTGTTTCTAAGCCGAAGAGCCAGCGCTCTCATCTATCAGAAGGTCGGCAGTTCAGCGGTTTGAATCCCTAGCGCCACGTCACAGACTGAGCTCCCGTTCCTTGTCCCGGCTTCTGCCAACCAAGCAGTTTGAAAGCACGCAAAAAATAGCAATAGCAATAGCAGTTAGACTTATATACCGCTTCATAGGGCTTTCAGCCCTCTCTAAGCGGTTTACAGAGTCAGCATATCGCC